CAGCAGGGTGAGCTGGACAGGTCCATAGTCCAAGGTCAATGAGGAGACTTGTTTCGAGCCCCCCCTGTGCACCACTCACACGCTGGGGGACCGTGAGAGAGATCACCTTTCCTCCTGGGAGCCTCATCTATAAAAAGGGGAGATGACACCAACCCCACAGGGCAGTAGAATCTGAAGTACCCTATGCCATTGACAAGGTTACTGTGGCCACCATGACAGCCCCGTGTTGAAGTCACGTGAGTGGAAGACCTGTTCGGGTTCCCTGGAATGGGTGGGTGAGAAGGTGTCATTCACCACGGCGGGTCCACCAGGGCCCAGGTGGGCCCCACTTTCTGACAGAGGAGGAGTCCTCAGCCCTGAGCCAGCATCACCCTCAATGAGCAGAACAGGGGGAGGCCGAGCCAGGTGTGGGAACAACCAAAATCCGGCCTCCAGGCCGGGCGTGGCACCGCCCTAGCAGAGGGGCCTCGCCCACCAAGCCCTGACTTCTAGTTCACACACGGTGGGGAGCCCAGACCGGGCCCAGGGGAGCAGCAGCCGGGCTGGTGGGTCGGGGCAGTGGCCATCTACCAATCAGAATGGAAATATTTCAACGTTTTAACCCCTCGTGTGGACGTGGCCAGGCACCTAGCTGGGGATGCAGCCTCGGGACACTGTGCCTGATAAAGCCCCAGCAGTGTGTCACCGCCGCCACCAAATACTTACTAACTGTCCTTTAGGCCAGTAGGATTTCATCCCTGGCCTCTTCCTCCTCCACCCCCCAGACCCGGCTAGACAAACTCTCTCCCTAGGCCTTACTCTTCCCATAGGTCAGACCAGTGTCCACTTATTGCTGACACTTCAGGGTTCCAGCAGGGATGCAAAGGTCCACTCTGTCCCACAGGTATGTGTGTGCACATCCATGCACATGTGTGCCAGTGTTTGCATGTGTGTGCATGCATGTGTGCACATGGGGCCGCGTGTGTGCGTGTGTGTGCCTCCCTCCTTGTCATCTCCACCCCTTCTCTGCACACACACCTCATTCCTCCAGGTGCCTGTGCCCACCTCCTCCCAGCCTCCGCCCAGACTCAGGGCCCCACTTGCCACCCCCGTGTGGATGGGCATTTGGTGAACACAGACCCAGGCTGAGGGGCCCGGGGAAACACCACGGAGTTCAAAGCTCATCACGAGAAGATGGGCTTGTTTGTCTGCATGGCACGCACTTGTCTCTGGCTGTTTTATCCACCCCCCTGAGTCAACTGAAGTGTTATCAATTTGTCCTGCCCTCTCGGAGAGACCAGATTGGAGGCGCGCACATTCACAGAAGCCCAATATAGACTTCCAATTATCTTTTAATTTCGCTCCTGTCTTCATTTGTTCATTTCACTTTTTCCAAACAGACTGAAAAAAAGCTGTAATTTATAGAGTCTGAAGTCAGCCTGTGAGAGTGTAATGTTCACCTGCCCGATGAAGAGACCTCAGCGTAGCGTTGAAAGCTCACTTCCAGTAGCCTCGCAGGGGAGAAAGGCACCTGCTAGGGACCCTCCCTACTCAGCCCCCCAAGCCCCACTGAGGTCCCTGCTGTCTGTCTCCTGACTCTCCACTACATGTAACTTTGTAACTATATTCTACATGTTCTCTGTATCCTAGAGGCTCTGGAATCCAGGCCTGCTCACCCTAACGGGGAAGGGACTGCCCCTCCCAGGGTTCGCTGCTTCTTGGGCAGTGAATGACTGCACCTTTCACATGCAGGCGGGTCGGCCCGAAGCCAGCACCCCAACCTCCCTCAGCTTTATCAGGTTCTCACGAGGCTCTTTCACCACAAGGCCAATATTCCCTGCCCCAGTCGCCCCAGGACCAGGCATCAGGTGAGCAGGGACAGTCCCGAGCCCCCTGGAGTTACTCAAGTTACCCGATCTTAAGCCTGTTCACCCTGCCTCACTCGCTCCTTCCCAGGGAAACCACAGGAGACACTTTTACCCTTTCCCCTCACCCCTCAGCCTCCCTGCTGGCCCTGGCGCTTCCCCACGGCTGGCTCTGGGTGATGTGGATTCTGGGGAGAGGGGGACGCCTCCTGGGAACCATGGGTAACAAACTACCTTTGCAACAGCAGTCATCTCCTGACCCGAGTGGTAATAAAGCCTGCATTCTAAAACAAGCTCAGTGGCTGCGTTCCCGGAGAACTGCGCTGGAGGGCGGACAGCGGGAATCCTCAACCAACGCGGGCCTCCTCCGAGCTCCGAGTTTCACAGGCCTCTCTTCTGCCCTGGAACCAGGGGAGGTCCCAGGAAGTGCCCAGGTGGGTTCAAATCAGAGCCCTCTGATACCACCGCCCACCATGTGCACAGCCCCAAAGCCTGCTCCGAGACCCAGCCTGGAGGTCTTCACGCATTGCTGTGGCTCTTGGGCCCCTCGGTTTCCCCCAGACCTTGTTGTCTCCCCACTTCTCGGCCTTCCCTGCTCCTGCACACCAAATGCCTTCTCCAGCTTCCGTCCTCGCCAGGGGCCGGGGCTCCCGTTTTACTCTCCCCTGCAACCGATGGGCACATCACACCCCACCACCTTCTCACTCAGCGCCTTCTTCCCCCGGGGTCACAGTCTCCAAGGGTGCAGGTCCACCCACGTCTCCTCAACCTACGCCACTGCATCCCAGTACACAGCCTGGTTCACGATAAACATCTGATAAACATTTGTTCGGTCAGTCAGTCCTTGCCCCTGCTTCCTTTATCAGTAGTCAGTGCTCAGCCCCTTTGTCTGGGACCCTTCCCCGACCTCTGTCCTGATGCCCCTTACTCCGGGCCCCCAGCCTTCCAGTAGCCGGGGTGTACTTGGTCCGCAGACGCCTGTGGGCAGATCGCCTCATTAATTTTTCCTTTGAGAAACATTGTGGACCGATCATATCGCAGGTGTCTCTGCCTTCTTCCGGATCAGCACATCAGTCCCCTGAGGCTGAGACTGTTGTCTGCTGGTCCCCGAGCCCCTCCCATCCTCCCACATTCCCCTGCTGCCCCAGGGGCTTGGTTTGGCCATGACCTTGGTGCCCTGGAGCAGGTTCTGAATGGAGAGGGTGAGTGCCTGGCTCAACTGGTTTATCCCGGAGCCGTAGGGAGAACGCTCCAGGGCATGGCGGAGCCTTACTGGTTAGAAAACTGCACACCAAAGGGGCCCCAACCCTGCTCACTGGGTGGCATCTGAGGAGACGATACCAGGTCACAACACGGCAATGCAACAAGCCTTTTCCTCTCCAAGGGTGTGAGAGTCCCAAAGCTGTCCCTACTGCTGGGATGGTCACTTGGCCACCGGGAGCTCCACATCAGCCCCCAAAGCCCTGCTGCCACCCCAGAACACGTCGCCTTTGTTGCCCCTCCTGCCTCGTCCTCTCCTTCTCAGAGGAAGACGCGTGGGCCACGCAGCCACCAAGACCTGGTTATTAGTCGAGACCCAGCCCCTCACAACCAAAGTGTGACAGTGGCCCGTCGCTCTGAGCCTGGGGCTCCCTCCGGAACCCAGGGAAACGAAATGACTTTGCTTATGCAAAGTGCCCGGGGCCTCAGTGGCCACGCCCTGTGGCTCACCTTGGCCATCGCCAGTCGCGAGAGCAAACCGCTCACCCACCCAGGTGCAGAGGAATCAGGCAGATCCGTAGAAAAGCCGACCTACTTCCTATTCCTGGACCCACTGAAATCTCCTGAGCGGATGGTTAGAAAATGGGGACTTCCTGGCAGCCGCCCAAACCTCCCGAATCAGTACGGGGTGGGGAGGGAAAACCTGCCTGTCTCACAAACACCGCCAGAGTCTCTGTCCCTGTGGAATTCGGAATCACTGTCTTGACTGAGATGAAGAGACAGAAAACCCTGCTGCCCTGTCACCGGTGGTGGGACACCCTGAGGAGGCCTAACTTCCAGAGAACTCCCGCCTGCGCCGGTCTGTTTGCAAGCAAACTGACATAACCTTGGAGAGGCCACAAAGTGGGGGTGACAACTGTATGTTTCCCAAACAAACACTGAGCGTTAGATGAGATTCATCCAGCGCGCCCGCCCCCTCGCTGCACCCACAGAAAGACACAGTGCATGTTGGCTGTTGTCCTATTGCTGCCTGCTCCCATCCAGACCTCCGGGACTTACCCTCCAGCAGGAGGAGAACAGAGTGCCCTTTGACCCGTGGCCCGTGACAGAGGCTGAAAGAGGAGCAAAGAAGGACGAGAGACCCAAAGAAGGAGAAGATAATCCTGGGAGAGTGGAGGTGCTGGGGAGGAGGCGGGGGAAGGCCCAGCCCTTGAGCTGACTCAGCAGGGCTGGAGAGATGCGGACCTGTGAGGACAAGGGAAGTGGGCCAGAGCCCCAGCCCGCAGCTGGGTACGCGAGGCAGGCAGGAGATGAATTTGGAAGGGTGCACTGAGGCTGGAGCGGTGGGGGCTACCAACGCAGGCACGCGTCAGGATTTCCTCCTCGCCCAGGCTTCAGAGCCCAGCGCCTCCCCGGCCTGTGTGTCCTTCGGCTCCCAGCGTCGGTTTGGTTTTCATGTTTTAATTAGATGCCATCGATTAGAAATCAGGAAGGATCTCATCACTACTGAGAGTAAGTGTCTCTGAAACAGTGGGCTCTGGCTATGGGCGGGCGGGCTGGCCCATCAGGCACCATCACAGGGTAGGGCCTCAATTTCCCTGCCCCGTCCCTGTAGGGGGCACATGTTTGAGCTCCCAACCCTGGCCTTTGGGGACCCTGAGAGCACAATTCGATCTGTGCTTCAGGAGGTCCAGCTGATGGTAATTAATAGAGCGACTGATGTCACTGGTGTTAATTACTGAGCTTGTATGAGGTAGAGCTCAGCCCTGTGTGCTTCACACACATTAACCCAGTTTGTTCTCACCACGACCTTAGGAGGTTTGTGTGTGGCTATCCCCATTTTTCAGAGGAGGAAACCAAGGCACAGAGAAGTGCAGTCACTTGCCTAACGCCACACAGCTGGTAAGTGGTAGAGCCAGGTGGTCTGGCTCTGGAACCCACATTGCTAGGAGGTGGTCTGAGCGAGTCTCCCTGGGCCTCTCGTCCAATGAGGGTGTCTGGTCCGGAGGGTGAGGAGATGCCCGGCATCTGCCCCTGCTCCGGGTATAATGCCAAGTGTTTTTCCCAAGCTCCCTCAGAATGTCCAGTTCTCTTAGTCAGGAGGGCAGCTGCACTGAAAGAGCTGGGTCAGGTGGCTTGGCGGAGGTCCCGGCTCGACCTCCCCTGCTGCTGACTGCAGGCTCCAACCCCCCTTTCTGTGGGGCCAGCAGACCCCCACAGAAAGGAAACAGACCCAGGCGGATCTCTGACACACCTGCGGTGGCTCCACCTGTCCCACACTCGCCACACCCAACCTGCCCAGCTCAGTCAATTTGCAAAAGAGAAAATAAAGCACACACACAAATAATAACCAACCCCACGAGTTTCCTAGCATCGGGTGACTGTTTGGTCAAGAGCTTCCTGCCTCTTGATGGGCCAGCTGGACACTCCTAACATTCTCCAGCCACTGTGGCCTCAGGTGGCTGGTCACAAGTGCAGTCCCCTAGGCTGACCATCCCCCAGGCCCCCACCAAGGAAAGCACTGAAGGATCCCAGGAGGCCAGCGTGGAGATCTGCCAGCTGGGGCCACTGCCCTCTGCCAACTCAAAGTCACCTTTGCTTCAACTTCTCAGCGGGCCAGCCAGAGCCCGCCCAGAACCTCCTCTGCTCAGCTCAGCAGGAACAAGGAACCAGCTCCTATTGGGTAATTATTAATCAGATTCTTGAGATTCCTCAGCCCCAGGTTGGCTTGGGAAACATGCTCCCTGGAGGAGGAGGAGGAGCCGAGGCCCAGGACTGGCATTTGGACATGCAGCTGACGGGCAAGGTGGTGCTGTCTGCAGCCGCCCTGCTCCTGGTGACCGTAGCCTACAGGCTGTACAAGTCGAGGCCCTCCCAAGCCCCGCTGTGGGACAGGAACACCAAGGCCAAGGCTGAGGAGGAGGCAGAGGGCTCCAGACAGCCTGAAGTCCAGGGGGATGTTCCTGGGGCACCCCGTCGGCGGCTGAGATGCCGGAGGGGGAGCAAGGAGCCTGGAGCACTGCCGGGCTACAGCTGGGACAGTCAGAGGAGCTCCCAAGTCCTGGCAACAGCAGCCTCTTCCAGTGACTCGGAAGCCGAAAGGGCTTGGAAGCCAGAGAGGAAAGGCAGTGGTGAGGATCTGGGCAGGAGGTGCCTGGAGTCGGGCCTGGCACCTCCTCGCTGCAGTGGCCAGGAAGCCGGAACAGCTGCCGCCAGTGAGTCCGAGCTGCCCCACCGCCCCCATCAGGGCAGTGAACCCAGAAGCTCCCCACCTGGCCTTGCTTCGGTGGACGGCAGTGGTGTGGAGGGTGAGAGTGCCCCATGGCGGGAAGGTGGACACCCCAAGCAGCCGGGGACTGGCGCCCAGGGGCCCCCACGCCAGCCCTGGATGGCCTACTCGGAAGACAAGAGTGACGTGAATAAGAGCTGGCTTTTCACTCGTGGGACAGGAGTGAGCGGGGAAGGGGCTGGGGCCCTGCGGGCTGCCTCAGACATGGGCCTCGCCCTGCGGCAGCAGGAGGGGGCCACCAACGCCTCCTACACCTTCTCCTCGGTGGCCCGGGTTCGAGTAGAGGAGAACTTCATAAGGGAGAAGGTGGAGGGGATCGGGCCCTGGCTGCAGGGCAAGGTGTACGAGTACCACGTGGAATCGACCTCGCAGGCCACCTCCAAAGGCAGACCGGCCCCCAGAACGGCAGCCCTGGCTGAGGCTCCGCCTCCTGTGCCAGGCCCCCTGGGAATAGGGGCAGTCCCCGGAGGCCACCACGATGACACGGAAGGGGGAGCCGATCCAGCAGCCTCCTCCCAGCCTGTGCTGTCGCCCCCTGGGCAAGGCTTCAGCAGGAAGGACAGCCTCCTTCAGATCGTGGAGAACCCGGAGCTGCAGCTGCAGCTCAACGGCTTCGGGAGCCCTGCCCCGTCCTGCCCCGCCCGGAGTGCCCCACCCAGCAGCCCCACAGCCGGGCAGCTTCCGGAGTCCGGCTCAGCCGGAAGCAGCGGGGAGCCCAACCTGCAGCTGGTGGCGGGGACCAATTTCTTCCACTTCCCCCTCACCCCGGGTTCAGCCCCAGAGGTCCATCTGGATCTGGGGAATTGCTACGAGGTGTTGACCTTGGCCAAGAGGAAAAACCTGGAGGCCTTGAAGGAGGCTGCCTACAAAGTGATGAGTGACAACTACCTCCAGGTCCTACGCAGCCCAGACATCTATGGGCGCCTGAGCGGGGCAGAGAGGGAGCTGGTCCTTCAGCGACGGCTGCGGGGCTGCAAGCGCCTGGTGGTGGCCGACATGTGCCCCCAGGAAGACTCTGGCCGCCTCTGTTGCTATGACGATGAGCAGGATGTGTGGCTCCTGCTGACCCATCTGCCCCCAGAGGCTGTGTCCCGGGGCTGTGCTATCTGCAGTCTCTTCAACTATGTCTTCGTGGTGTCCGGTTGCCAGGGGTCCAGGTGCCGGCCCTCCAACCGAGTCTTCTGCTACAACCCTCTGACCGAGATCTGGAGCGAGGTGTGCCCACTGAACCAAGCCCGGCCACACTGCCAGCTGGTGGCCCTGGACGGGTACCTGTACGCCATTGGGGGCGAGTGTCTGAACACAGTCGAGCGCTATGACCCGCGCCTGGACCGCTGGACCTTTGCCCCGCCACTCCCCAATGACACCTTCGCCCTGGCGCACACAGCCACGGCGTGTGCCGGGGACATCTTCGTCACGGGCGGCACGCTGCGCTACCTGCTGCTCCGCTTCTCCACGCAGGAGCAGCGCTGGCAGGTCGGCCCCACAGCGGGCGGCAAGGACCGCACGGCCGAGATGGTGGCGGTCAATGGCTTCCTCTACCGCTTTGACCTCAACCGTAGCCTGGGCATTGGCGTGTACCGCTGCAGCGCCAGCGCCCGCCTCTGGTACGAGTGCGCCACGTACCGGACGCCCTACCCTGATGCTTTCCAGTGCGCCGTGGTGGACAACCTCATCTACTGCGTGGGGCGCCGGCGCACGCTCCTCTTCCTGGCAGACCACGTCTCACCCAGGTTTGTGTCCAAGGAGCCGCGGAGCTTCCCCTCCCCCCAGGGCACCCTCCTGCCCACTGTCCTGACCTTGCCTGGCCCCCAGGCTCCTCAGACCAGGGTCTAGCCACCTTCTGCTGGGCAGCCCCTGCCCACTGCTCCGTGGGCTATTTCTGGGAGAGCAGGCAGCCAGGGAATGAGCTCCAGAAGTTGAACTCTAGTCCTCCCTCCTTCACTGGCTGGGGCTTTGAGGTGCATCTCTGCTGTCAGTGGGCTGCGGGGGGCAAGTGGGAATCTAGAACTCAGGACTGGTGTTCCAAGGCCAAGGGCAGCCGCTTCTCCAGAGCCGGTTTCAAGTCTGAATTTGGGGGGACTCTAGGACCCCAGCAAACTTCAGGGACGCAACCTTATGACAACTGCGATTCAGGTGTCAGTTTACCCCCAGTGACCCCTCAAGCTGACCCCATTGGAGATGGGCCCCTTCCTAAACATGGGCCCTATGCTTCCACTGCCGAGATTCCCAGAAGCACCTGGAACACACAGGTGGAAACAGTCCAGGGAGGTGGTCCAGGCAGGACTGGCAGGAACCTGGGGCAGCCACGGGGCCCAGCCAGAGGGAGAGGGGTGGGAGAGGTCACACAGCTAAAGCTGGAAGACTTTCTTTTCTTTTCTTCTTCTTTTTTTTTTCGGCTTCAGAATAAATTAACCAAAGCCCATTTCAGTTTTCCTCATTACCCGGAATTTTAGCACGAGAAAGCTCCATTTCTAGCAGCCTTTTGACAAGGTGCATCTTCTAGGGGTCTATTAAGGATATCGTCTGTCCTGGGAGAGGCAGGAGAAGGTGATCCAAGGGCTGCTGTCCCCCTGGGGCCCACCGACCCTCTCCCCACATCTCAGAACTCTTCACGGCACAGCTGTCCCAGGACCCCAGCCTCACACCCCAGGGGTGGGGGCAGCCTCTGCCGACCAGGCGACCCTTTTGGGCTGGTGAGAGCCAATGCCATGATCTGCCTTCCCTGTGGCATGTTGCCAGCTGGTCAGCATCAGACAGGAGAGGACCAGGGAGGGGCAGGCCCAGGGTGGAGCTGGGGAACTAGAAGTGACCTGTCGGGAGGCTGGGATCTCCTTTGCCATCAGGTTTGGGAACTTCTCAAAGGGAGGAGACCTCCAAACCCCGAAGTTCCCCATGGCCCTGGGGGAAAGAGAGAGAGAGACTGCTCCCGTCTCTAACCATGGCCCTGCTCCACCCCCAACGGAGAGGCACACACAGACGGAGGAGCCAGGGGGCAGAGTGTCCTTCTATATGACAAGCAGCATGGAGGACAGAAGCAGAGGGGGGGTGCACCCCACCAGGGCTGACAGGTCAGAGACAAGGACACAGTGGACATCAGTGTCCCTCTCTTGGAAATGAGCAGGGCAACTCATGCCCTTCTCTGTGGGGGCATAAAGAAGAGCATCCGGAGAAAGTTCTTCCCAAGCTTCTGGGGGTCCAGGCCGGAGCCCGTGCTCCCCGCAGCTGCCTGGGCTGAGCCAGAGTCGATCTGAAAGATGCAGGATGGGAAGGGAGAATGAGAAGGAGCTTGGCGTGGACATGAGGGCTTTCCGTGGGCCCCACGAGGCCCGGGGCCCAGGAGGTGAGGCTGCTTAGTTTGTTCCTAAACTGGAGGTTGAGAAAGGGAAGTAGTTAAGATCGGTGCCTGGGAAGAGTGACCCTTCAACCAAGCAATGCTCAAGGTCAGAGTCAACACTCAGGCACGGACCTCCCGGGGACCCAGGGGACTGGGGGTTGCCGCAGTGGCATTGCTAGGAGGTGGCATCGGCATGGTGGCGCCAGGCAGGGTTGGCTCGGGAAGAGAACCCCATGTGGGGAACCAGATTCAGCCCCAGGGGCAGGGGCAGGTGAGGAGCCAGGCGGAGGACAAGCCCATTGCGTACTTATGGTAGGACAAGGGAAATGGTTCCAGGGACAAGGAGACAAAGTTCCAGACGCAGTGAGGGCAGGCGTGGTCTCCACGATGACAGAAAGAGTTGAGCTTTGGCCCAGGGCTGCGCTGGGAAGGCGCCACATGCTGCCCCTGCCTCCCTCTGGTCCCCTGGCACACACCACTAACCGACCGTCATCTCTTTTCCTGTTGAACATTTCTAAGGACCTCAAACAGGCTTTGGCAAGGGCCCGAGCCCTCATTGCCAATTATGGCTGGTGCATCTCTCATCTCTGGCGCTGGGTCAGGGACGAGCGTAGGCAGGGCCGTTGTGGCAGAGCGGGTGGTCCAGGGGCGACAACCACCACCCAGAGCCCTGGAGGTCAGGGCACATTGACAGAAGGCTGTGGCCGGGTCCACTTCCTGGTGCTGGAGGCACTGCAGCCCCCTGCCGGGACCCCTGCCCTGCAGGCGCAGGTTCTAATGGAGAAAAACAGGCGATTTTGTACTTGAGTAAACAGGACCCCTGCTGGGTCAGGGCCGTAGAGACAGAGAAGGCAGGCCAAGTGGGAGAGTGTGAGCAGGCCTTCCCAATAAGATGACATTGAGCAGAGAACTGAATGGGAATCTGGGGACCTGCATAGACCAGGGCTGGTTCAGGGCACGGGAAGCCTGGCCGTGCCACCCGAAGGCCTTTGTCACAAGGGCAGCAGAATGGAGGTCTGCCTCCTGGGAGCTCTGTCTCGGTGTGTGAAGGGGGCAGGAGGCCAGCTGTTCTGCCTGTCACGTCCGGGAGAGAATCCTGTCCCACTGGTGTTTATAAAGGAGGGTTCTTGCTTGGAGATAGACTACATTCACCGGAGAGAAGCAGCGTTTGCACAGTAGGGGCAAAAGTCAGCAGAAGGACCAGGACGTCACAGGCGCCACCCCTGGATGTGTGGCTGCATGTCAGCCGGCCCACGTGACTGCATGGGTTCAGGGGCTAGGATTTTCACTTGACCTTGTTTTACAGCCTAGTCTGCCTACCTGTAGCCCTCAGCCTCAGAGTGGCCTCTATGTCAAATAAAGCTCGTCCCCGGGCCATCTGGCCTGCTTTCCCAATAAGAGGTCTTTCTTCTTCAGGGGAAAAAAAATACCCTAAGTCTGGTTTGCTTTCTACATGAGACTAACCATGTCATTACAGAAGAAAGGAAAATTGGAAAACTCAGAAAAGTATAAAAAAAAACTCTCCAGTGAACCCCCGTCATGGTGTACGTCCCTCCAGTCTGTTTCTTCCACGAGTGGACTTTGGCTGGGCTTGACTTTTGCCCAGGTGTGATTATGCCGAATATACAATTCAGTTGCTTCCTTTTTTCCCCACTTAGCTTTTGAAAATACGCATTTTCCCATGTTATTACAAACACTCGGTAAACAGCATTTCAATAGTTGCACAATGTTCCAACCAGCGGCTGCATCACGGTTTATTTAACATTCCCCCCGCTGGTGGGTCTGCAGATTTGTTTTTTCTGTCATAAATAAAAGGTCCCTTGTTTTCTTATTCCTCTCCATCTGGGGCCTCTGTCAATATTGACAAGAGAAGCCCAGCCTAAGTCTTGTCTGGAATAGCAGGGATGTCAGAACAACCATAGAAGCCACAGCATTTGCCAGGGGCCAGGCCCAGGCCCTGCTCTGATAGGGCACAGGGCTGCCCTTGCAGGCACCCAGCCTGGAAGGCCAGGCTCTCTGCAGGGGCCAGCCCAGGCTTCCTGCCCCGTGGTGCTCCTGGAGCCAGGATGTAAGACAGAGCCCCGGGTCTTGCACAGCCCCTGCACGAGAGGCTTTCTACATGTCATCTCACTGACCCTCACTACACCCGGTTTTACAGGTGACAAAACTGAGGCTCAGAGAGGACAAAAGAAGTAGCCTTCATAGCCAAGTTCAGGGACCCTCAGTTTCCTTGGAAGCATACTGGAAGCAGGCCCACTGTCAATGTGGTAGTCTCTCCATCCCCCTCTCAGGGGCAGAGGAGCCAGGAATTTGGCATCAGCTGTCACGTGGCTGTCCCCAGTGCCTTCTCCACTCACGCCAATCAAGTATACTCTATCCTTGAACTTTGAACTCAAACTTTTCTGCCACTCTCTGATCCTCATTATCCACATCTGTAAAATGGGTCTGCCACTGCCAGCCCATCGTGGGTGTTATAAGAACTAAGAGAATATGGGTAAGATACCCAGCCCAGGTTCTGCGCCCAAGTCAGTCTTGGCATCTTCTGCAGGTGGGGGGTGGGGTCACCCAAGCAGAGCTGGCTGGTATCTGAGGTTTAAGCTGCAGGGCCCCGTCTGGTTCGACAAGGTCTGGTGTGTGCTCAAGTTACTGATGTTGTAGATCATCCAGGGTTTGGGACTCTGATCCTCTACGTCCCTCATCCAGGGTAAGAATGGACTGGCTGCAGATGCGAGCTTCCGGCTCAAGGCGGGAAGCGATTGCCCAGGGGAGCTTTGAAGGGGCTGGAGCAGGCCCAGGGTCTCCTTCCTTTTACAGACTGGGAGTGAGAGTCACTCAGGGCAACTGGAAGGGGTTTAGATGGTTAGAGCTAGGATAGGTGCCCAGCACTTCCTGCTTCTCTCACCCTTCCTTGGGAGGGCCTTGTGGCCCCAGGGTGGCCAGGGAGTCCCCTGAAGCTGTGGCTGGGAGGAGGCCCCTGGGCAGCGGGGAAGCTGTGGCAGGGGGAGGGAGATGAAACATGGAGGGAGGAGGTGCATTCAGGGAGGGCAGAGCCGGAGGACGCCGGGGACTCGCAGGGAGCGGGAAGAAAGGGCGGCCTGCAGGAGCATTGCTGCAAACAGCGCTCGGCCTCCGTGTTTTGAAAAGTGGGATGCGGGTCAAAATAAAACAAAAAATGAAAAAGGATCGAGTCTGGGTTGCCTGCTTGCCTGTGGAAAGGAAGTGGAGACTTGGGTCCTGCACCAGGAATAAGAACTCCCGCGGCACCCGCACCTCGCTCCGTGCAGGTCGAATCCTCCCAGGGACACGCCGTCTGGAAGAGGCCGCCCTCCCCATAGAGGGGAGGGAACGGAGTCAAGACATTCCGCAAAAATTAAAAATTACTATTTCATTCCTATTGTCCCAGCGACCTTTTTATTATTAAAAAACCGGAAGGGAGAAACATCATCATTGTCATAGCTTTGTTGAGCCGGCCCGACACTAACAAACGCTCTACTTATATGATGACCTTTTACCCTCCAAATAACCACAGTATGTGGCAAAACTGGCCAAACTCCCCCCTTCCCATCAGTTTCTCCACCCCTTGAATGTGGCTGTGGGGCCTGCTGTAAAAAGCTGGGGCGTGGGGTGGACTCTCTTGTGGCTCTTAGAGACCTCGAGACAGTCACCATGTGCAGAAGCCCGGCTGGCCTTCGGGGGCCCGCACGTGGCCCAAATGCTCATCACGTTGCCCGGCACTCGTCTCCACCCAGAATCTCAAAGCCAGCATCATCCCATCTTGCGGATGAAGTGACGAAGGCTCCGAGGGGTCTCACAGCTGTGACGTGAGTACTCATCCTTCAAGACCTTGAAAACGTGGCCTCAGTTTCTCCCCACTGACACCCCCACTCCTGATCGGGGACCCCACCCTGCACACATAACTCCCTCACTCCTCACTCTGCAGCCTCTGCTTATAGGTCTGCTGACCCCAGTGAGTTCCCTGTGAGCACCAAGGATGTCTTGTCTGCCTCTGTCTTGGATGCCAGCACAGAGTGGCCACAGGGCGTGGCTCACAGGAAGCCGCAGCCTTGCCGTGTCCTCATTTGGAATCTGCCATCGGGCACCATGAACCAGTGTTGGCACTGTCCAGCGGGGCTGTTTTCCTGTGTCCGAGAGAGATGGTGTCCTACCTTCTGCTCTTTCCTCAAATGCCCCTCTTCACTCTGGCACACAATATCAGGGTGCAGAGCCCCTCGGTTCTTACAGTGCCTAGCACGACTGCTCTGATGAAACTGTCAGCACCCATCTGCTGACCAAGAGCCCTACCCACTGTCAATGCAAGGGGCAGGCTGGCTCAGCCCGGGAGGAGCCCCGCCGAGGAACCCGACTGGCAGGGCTGGTGGACAAATACCCAGGCTCCCTCCACCCTCAGTGGATAACCCAGGCTCCGCACTGGCTCCCTGGGTAACCTCCCTTTAACAAAGTCCCTGGGTGCTCCTGGTCAGTTCGCCCCCTGCATCTCCATCCTTCGTAAGACAGGAGTAGGAGGAGTCACTCCACCTTCCCCCGAAAGCCCAGGCCCACTTAGGCTCTTTCGGATGTCACACTAGGGACAGTCCTGCTCCAGCGCCAGCCAAGTCCCCTGTCTCCCAGGTGGTTAAAAGCAGATTCAAACAGGCTCTGGCCTCTCCACCGTGAAAGAAAAGCTTTTCTCACGATCGCTGATAAAGAAAAGCCACGAATGCACTTGAGCAGGTTAGAAACACTACCCAAATATAATGCAGCTTTATTTGTTAGGAGTGTCAAAGTGACCCGGTGTGTGTCAAAGTGACGCGGTGTCGTTGTGTTCTTGAAGAGTTCATTTCAGACTCTGGAGATTTGTTGTTGTTGCCCCTGAGAACACGTTTAGGCTCTCCCTTTCAGCCATCGTTACTTTGTAGAAAATACGAGGGCTAGCTTAACGTGGCCTCAATTTGAATCATAATACATCTTGAGTAAACTCTTAAAAAAGAAATAAAAGCCTTAAAAGCCTTTTGCTACAGAAGGCTTCCCATCTGATCTGGAGCAGCCAAAACGTTGGGTTGTACCTAGGAACATGGAAACCCATGCCACTTAGTTTCACTAACCAAGCCTGGTGTCCAGCCACTTGGTTTCACTTCCCAAGCCTGGTGTCCCCCACCTGTCCCCCCCCAGCATGGACCACACAGCAGGGGTGGACGGCGGAGAATGATGGCAGATTCAGAAAATACCAGCCTCAGGAAAAACCAGGGAAGTGACGTTTTTCACACAAGTTGCCTTTTCTCTCTGAAACATATTTTTATCATGGCAAAATACACATAACAACATTCACCATCATAACCACTTTAAAGTGTACAATTCAGTGGCCTTGAGAACATTCACCAGGCTGAGCACCTGTTTCATCTGATTACAAAAGATATACAAACACGTACTATCAAACAGAGAATTGGGAAAACACAGAGAAGTCCAAAGAAGACAGTAGAAGTCACCCCCACTCAGGAATAATCGGTTACTGTTTTGACTTCTTTATTTCCAGTCTCTTATTTATTATCCAAAATTTTTTAAATAATAAATGGGGCCCTGACCCGTGTGGCTCAGTCCTCTGGGCTTCATCCTGCAAAGAGAAAGGTCACCAGTTTGATTCCCCATCAGGACACATGCTTGAGTTGTGGGTTCGACCCGCAGTCAGGGTTGCGGGTTCAGTCCCCAATTGATTGATGTTTCTCTCCCTCTCTTTCTCCCTCCCTTCCCCTCTCTCTAAAAAAATAAATGCATACATTTTAAAAATAAAAATAAAAGTACAAAATGGGGTCTTTCTCTGAACTTGCAGTATAACTGACCTTTCCTTCTATCAAGAATATTATGACAGTTTCGAGTTAAAAAAATTCGCCACTGGGTTTCTTTTTATTGTGGTAAAATGTGCCCAAGGTAAAATGTACTGTTTTAACTAATTTAAAGTGGGCAGCTCAGAGGTAGTAAGTGCATTCATATTGTGCCCCCCCACCCCCCTCTCCCCAGCTCGCTTACCATCCCCAAGGGAAACTGGTGCCCATTAAACATGAGTTCCGCTACCTCTGCAATCCCCCACCCCTGCCAGCCCTTGGTGAGTAAAAGTTTTCTCTAACTTTGCAAAGCACCCTTCGCCAGTATAAAGAAGTTCTCTGTGCCATCAGCACAGATAATTGGGAATGTGCCTTAAGCACAAAGATACAGTGGTTTTCATTCATTTTGGAAATTTCCGCAAACAATGCAGAACCCAGCTCAGTGGGATGCTTTGGGGCAAAACGATCAATAGCTCCTTTCTCAAGGACCCTCCCTGCCCCTCCTCCTTGCCACAGGGAAGACAAAGGGAAAAAAAAACACTCTCTCTGTTCTCTACAACCCCCTCCATCATCACACCGAACTAATTATTTTTGGAGCTTTAACAAAAACACGGTTCAGAAAAGGCAGAGGTATAAAACACATTAACAATTGTGTTGTTTTGTGGGCCCTAATTACGACGCGATGAGCCCATGGAGCAGTGTGGAAGTGAGTCACTGTAATTACACAGTAACAACCTCTGGGAAGGTGTGCCCACACCCAGGACAGCAGCAGCCAGGTTTAAGGAGCCTCAGGGTGCAGTGCACAGGGGATCAGCAGAAGGTGTGTGGAGGGTTGAAAGACCAGGGCTCGGGCAGTAAAAGGAAAGGCTGCCTTTCAGGGTGGGGGGCAGGGGGGGCAGAGAGGTGGGACAGGGAGTGACAAGGCAAGCAAGCCAGCACAGTATGACAGATGCAAATCCCCCCTTCTTCCCTCCCAGGTTTATAAGCTCCTACACCCTGTGAGGTGCTGGGGTTGGGACTGTGAACAGGTCAGCACGATCTCCCGGCGAAGCCAGGAGTGCACAGGTGACCGGCTCCATAAACACTGGTGGACTGGCAGGGACTCCGTGCAGGAAGTAAATGCACTGTGTTGGAGACTGTCAGAGGGACATACCTCATGGCTCTCAAGGTGGCTTCTCGGAGGAGGTGACATTTAAGCTGTGATGTGAAAAATGAGAAGGACTTGGCTTGAAGGGAGAGCAGAAGAACATTCTGGAAGGAAGGGGAAACCCAAGAGCAAGGACCCTATGCCTACACCAGAGGCCAGTGTGGCCAGAGAGGCAAAGTGAGGCCAAGACCAGCCAGGTCACGTGGGGCAATGTCACACTGTCCACTGTCAGCTGTGCTAAGAAGTTCGGATTTTATCGTGAGCTCGATGAGAAGCCCCCAAAGGACTTTTTGCTTTGTTGGTAAACCGTTTAGCAGAAAAGTTGCAGGGATTGTGCAGCCAGATCCCATGCACCCCGTACCCTGCCCCCCATTATTAATACTTTGTATTCATAGGGCACCTGTACGTTGTCGGGAGCGAGGACCCAACGCTGATACACTGTCATTAATTAAAGCCCATACTTTATTCAAATTTCCTAAACGTTTACCCAACGTCCTTTTCCTGTTCCAGGATTCTGTCCAAGATGCTTTACTTTTACACGTCACATCCTGAGGCTCCTTCTTCCTCTTGGTGGTGACGGTTTCCCAGATGGCAGGAGGGCTGGTGGGGGTGTGCAGGGGACAGTTGTGCAGACTGTCCCTCAGGGTGCCTTTTCCTGATGCTTTTTTCATGGGTCATAGGTCACTCGACTGGGATTATGGAAGGAAGTTCGTGGAGGCAAAGGGCCATTCGCATCCCATCATATCAAGGGCACATGCTATCGACAGGACTTGTCACTGTTGACTTTGACCTTGATTATTGGCTGAGTTAGCATTTGTCAGGCTTCTCTGCTGCAAAGTTGCTCTATTTTCCCTGTCCCCATACCCCACCATTTAGAAGGCGTCACTGTGCGGTGCACACTTAGGGCAGGGCGCCAGCTTCGCCTCCCTCGCAGGGGTGGGGGAGACTAGCTCCATAAATTACTTGTAATTCTTCTGTCTGGGAGATTGGTCTCTTCCTTATTTACCTATCTATGCCATTCTCTGTCTATATCGGTATAGTCCCATAGATACGTACTTTGTTCTTTGGGTCACATTCCGATTCTACACTGTTCATTTTGTTGCCCAGAGCATTCCAGCTGTGGCTACTGAGAGCTCTTTCAGCGCCCCCCTTTGACATGCCCCCCCTTTGTGCTTCCTGGGCATCTCCTTATTTCCTGGCACTTGTGTTTTCCCGGCCCCGTCCTGGAACCCAGCATTCCTCCAGGGAGCCCCAGCCCCTTCCCTCACAGGACGGTGTTAGGAACCCGGTTGGACCCCGGGTCTTCAGAGGTTTTGAAGCACACAGGTGGCGTCACTGGGCTTTCATTTTAAATGTGTCCCTCTGAACGGACTGGTGGGTGGCCAGGGAGGGAATGGAGATACCAGTGAGGAGGGGGCTGGTCCCGTAGGTGAGAGGTGAGGGAACCCACCCACCCCCGGGGCCCTCAGAGTTAATACGAAGATTACTTCAAAGATGGTTGATGTTATCGGGTGCAGAAAGAAGCCTTCTCAGAGCTTCCTGTATTTCACTAAAAGCCGAAACTTCTGGGAGTGAAACTACCTCCGGTTTCCATCTATGGGAGTTGTACTGGGGGAGTTTGACGGCGTGAAAAGATGGAAAAGGCCACCCGCACCTGCGTGAACACACATGATCACAGATTTTCTTATCTCTTGTTTGTTCCCCTAGAAACCCATTTGCTCCTCCCGTAAAAGCCTCTTGTCTCCTTCCCCTTCCCCAACTTCAGCCATTTAGTCAGCTACTTCTTTTGTGAGCTCCCATACGAATAAATGTTGCAGGGTTTTTTCCTTCCCGTTAATCTACCTTTTGTCAGTTTAGTTTGCAGGCTCCCGGGCACTGAGACTAAGGGTTCCCCTCCGCCTCTCATCCCCCACCCCCCAGACAATAGCCTGAACTACACAAGGACACAAGGTCGCCTAGAGACAAGTCCTTACAATGGCACTATACCTACTAGATCGTCCCTGTGCCCAGGTCCCCTCAGACCCCTGCCCAGCCTACCTCTACCCCCACCCCCTCTGGTACATTGCCTTTCTCTTGAATTGATTTCTATTGCTTACAACCAGGAACCCTAACCGACAGAGTTTGACAACGTCGCCCTTGACCTCTACAGGGGACTCCCAGAAGAGAGGGTCTGGGCCTGCTCATTTCTCGGTCCCCCAGCTCTCACACAGAGCCCAGCACTTGGGCCACGCTCGAGAAATGCTGGTCGGGCCGGACGTGAGCTGTTTGATGAACAAAACAGTTGGCTGCCCGATGGAGCACCATCCACAGGGCTGCAGGGGGCACCTTGTAACCCACTTAAGAAAATAAACTGTTCGCAAGTTCTCTCCGCACATTCATTTGCAGGGAAACAATTAGTGTGCTAATTAAAATTGAGTCTTATCTGTTCATTAAAGTAGGCCCAGCAGGACCTCCAGTTGGCAAGGTTTTGTTGGCACCAAGTTCAAGGTTCTCTGGTAGCAGAAAAAAAAAGCCATTTTCCTTTCTCATCGAATGTTGAATAACTCAGGTGACTGCTGACTCTGGCTGGCCCTCCGATCACTGGGTCTCATGAGCCAGGCTGGCAGACACGTGTCAATCAACACCCACATCCGGACTCAGGCGAGTGAGAAATTGTAATCCTTCTCCAGGCCTGGCCGGCTGGAGTGTGTCTTGTTCCATGAGGGAAGAGTTTGTTGCTCAAATTAATAGTATAAGCAAGATTTCAGAGGGGAAGGTTTAACCTACTTAAGAAAACACACTGTTTTCCAGCAATTAGTACCATTTGTACACAATGGATGAGCTAATTGCAGATAAGCCTTTTTCCTGCCTTGAAGAGGGATCCAGCAGGACCAGAGCCTGACAGCACTTTGCCAGCAGTTACTTAGTATAGTTAGCATCGCCACATGCTCTCCAAAGGCATGACGCAGCAATTCACTGAGCGCAATGCCCTATATTCGGGTTTCTGGGTAATTCTCTGTAATTCTCACCGGGCCTTCATGTCAGCATCTACAATATGGGGGGTAATACTTATTTCATAGGGTTGTTGTGAGCCATTAATGAGTGTGTTTATGCCCATACGTGGCAGCTAAATCCACTCTGGTCTTCTCCCAGATTTGGCCAAATGAGGAGACAGATTCTGGGCTCGGCGTCTGGTGGGGATGACCAAACGTCTGGTCGATTGCTTCGGCAGCCACCGACTCGCACTCAGTACTCACGGAGTGAGATCTACAGCAGCCCATGGTGAATGCCCTTTGAAATCTGGCATACCTGTGGCACACCAAACCTTCCACAATGCCCTCGGGTTGTACCGGCCCTGTTCGAGCAACGACTATTTGCTTGGCTTCTTCCACATTTAATCTAAATCAACTTCTGCTTTTTATAGCTGCCAAAAATGAAAGTCACAACACCTGCTTTCTTGTCTTTGAAATGGGAGGGTAGAGGTGGGAAGGTCAGAGTTAACCACCAGCAGACGGTTGCAGGGCGGACTTTGGCATTGCCAGACAAGGCATCCGGATCAGCTGACCCAGTCTCGCACCTCCCACCATTGCCTTGTGTTGGGCCGAGCTGCCTGAATCCTTGATCCGAAAGTTCTGCCAGAAGATAGACCATAAATCAGCCAGGCGGTGAGAGACAAACACCATATGAGCTCACCTTTAACAGGAATCTGATCAACAAAACAAACAAACAAGCAAAATATGACCAAAGACACTGAAATTGAGAACAGGCTGACAGTGGCCAGAGGGGTGAGGGGAGGGAATTTCAGGGGGAAAAGGGGAAAGGTTTGAAGGAACAAGTATAAAGGACACGGACAATAACAAGTGGAGGTGGGTGGAAATGGGAGGGAGGGAAGGAGGGCTGGGGGTGGGCTGGGATGGGGGTAAAGAGCAGAAAACTGTACTTGAACAACGATTTAAAAAAATTAAAAACTATTAAAAAAAAGAAGATAGATCACAAGTGAAGTCTCAGGCAGATGAGGATAATATGAGCCTCGATCCTTCAAACCATTAACTCCTAAAACAATCAGCACAGTACAGGCTGAGTCAGAGTGACCTGGGTGCAAGTCTTGATTCCCCCACTCACCAACTAGCTCAGTGCCCCTCTCCAGGTCCCCGTGAGATTAAATAAGACAGTGGGTGTGAAGCACTCAGCTCAGTGTCTGCCTCATAAAAAACACTTAATTTAGATGTCGGAGAAACAGGAGTGGCCCAGCCCACACCAGTGGCCCAGCTGCAAGCTGTATGGCCAATGTGCCCACACACCCGTCATCGGGTGAAACCTCAGCAAGACCTTCTGTCTCTGCCTTTCTCGACACCGTTTATACAATCAGACAAATAAAAGTCCAGTTTCTCTTGGGCACCTGGCACATGGCGTGGCTCCTACATGGACTCCGCGACATGAGACTCTTTGTCTGATCAAGTGAAAGAAAGAAACTCATCCGGCTGACTGGGTTCACTGGCCATTTTTTTGCGAGCAACTCTTGCAAACAAGGAGAGGGAAAAAAATCTATATTTGAAGTGACTTCTATATAGTGCAGCCAGCTGGGATGCCGGCCAAATTTTCTAGGCTAAAAATGAAAACGGGTTCTTTTTTTCTCTTGTCTGCAGGAAACAGTGTGCCTTCAGGCCCGTGTATCTCATAAGGGTCACGACTGGATGCCGCACTCTCTGGGTGCGGAGGAGGCTCGGTCACCGCTCCGAATCTTCTTCTCAGTGCTGTTAATATTATATCGTCTGCAAATGATTATTTATTGTATGTTTCTCACTGAGGTGACCATCTCACAAGACAAGTGCCCCTCACGGGTGGCTGGTCTGGTTTTGTCATATGTCTCTCTTTCCCACCAGCAGGCAGATGATCAAGAAGGTAAATGGTGTGAGGTACTGGAGGATTCATAATCCCCCCAAAAGCAAAATGTTGGCAACTGGTTTCTCCTTGTGGCCTTGGTCACACCTAGAATAAGAAAGATTTTTGAAAGTTAGAGATGGAAGGGTGAGAAGCGGTTACCGTTCACACTCCTGGTGGCCAGGGTGTGTCGCGGACGATCAAGGAATTGGTCTGCAGATAAGCCCCTCTGCCCTTTCTTTGGTCGGACCCCCCACCCAGCCACGTTGGGGCTGGGATTAGAACCACTGTGTGACCGAGATATGGTCATGCCTGGCAAAAGGCAAAAGCTTATCTGCTGAGATGTGGTATCAGGAAGTCCAGAAAATTATATAACACATATTTCTCTGTGTGCTATGCACTCCCCCCAGCCCCAGTTTGTAGAGAATTTGGTAAGCAAGACTGTTTCAAAATCATGTACCCAAAAACCATTTAATGTGGCTCCTAGGCTCAGAACTCTGCTTAAGCACTGAGTTAAGGAACCTGCAAACTGTGCCCTTACGAAAATTAGTGCCAGGCGCCTGCCTTTGGTCCATGCCATTGGAGCAAAATGATGCAAATTCAATTCCACACATCCT